GCAAGAAAAACTTCCGATAAAAAACCTCAACAATCATCATCAACTGGTCTTCTTACTCAATCAGCACTTTTAGCTCGTGCTCAACATCGACAACAATTATATGCTAAAGGTATTGAATTAGAACCAGGTGCATTCGATGAAGCCAATGATGAAGATGAATCAAGTTCAGATGCAACAACAAGTGGTTCAAAAGTATTATTTGGTTCTGGAAAAAAAAGTTTTCTAAAAAAAACTGCAACTACTACACCTGCTAATCAAGTACCAGATTTACAACATCTTGATAGTGAAACAAATAGTAGTGAACGCGAAGGAAAAAAAACTAAACATAACAAGAATAGACGACCATCTTTAGGTATAAAGAAATCATAATTAGTATATTTCGATAAAAATTATCAAATAGAAGTAGTTCATGATTAAATTTTTGTATAAATTGAACAACTTTATTGGTTAAAATGTTCTTCAATTTAATAAATTTCTTTTACATTGTACTTGGTTTTTTGTTTAGTACTCGATACAGAAGATGATTCATTATTGGATTTTGCTGGTGATGGTTCTTCGAGTGAAGGTCGAAAAACACCAACTTTAACACCAAGAAAAGGCATTTTAAAATCACCAAAAGTAAATGAAAATGAAAGAAAGAAGAAAAAAGACAAACAACAATTTTTCTTCTTTTTTTGTTTTTGATATCATTCTATTCCTTTTGTTGCTTATTTAGGATTTTATTCCAAAAGAAAGTGAACATTCTGTACAATTTTCTGAACGATTAGTTACAGTTCAAAGTATATTCATAATCAAATAAAAAATAATGAACATATCAAAATGTTATTATTTTTTTAAATTTTAATCTAGCTGATGAAGAACGTATACCAACTCCAATAAAAACTTCACGTTCAACAACTCCACGACGTATACAAATTACTAAAAAACCTTTGAATGATGTTGATGAAATAATATCTTCTGAAACAGAATCAATATCAACAGCTATTGATGTTGATGATGATGATGATTATACTAGTATTCCATTTAGTGAACATATTAGTGAATCACCAGTTAATAATATGTTTGCAAATTTACTTATGAATAATGAACCATTAATAACATCTGTTGTTAAAAAAAAATCTCCACGAATAACAACAAAAAAATCTCCATCAACAATAAATAAAATTCATCATAAACATGAAACAATATCAGAGATTAGTGATGATGAAAATACAAAAGTTGAAGAAGTTCCTGAAGAACAAAGTATAATTAATTATTCTGAAGATTTTTCATTAGTAACAACAGAAACTTCAACACCAAGACCACCAAAACCGACAAATATTTATATAGAAAAACAAATACCGTATGAAAAAAAAATTTTTTCTATGTAATTTACAATATTGAATTTTTTTCTAGTTTAAATAGAACTATACAAAAAGTTTCAACCTATGATCAACAAGTACAAGTTGATATAATGTCAACTCCATTTCAATCATCGTTAAATCAAAGTTGTACCTTTATCTTTTTCCTATCTTTTATACTTAATCATTGATAAATATGTATTTTAATAGTTCATTCAATCTATTTAATTAATGAAAATGATTTAAATGAAATTCGTCCATCATCACTTTTTCGATCTGTTGTTGAACCACAAGTTCTTCAATCTCTTCTAACAACAAATCCTGTCCTATTAGCTGTTGATGATTTACTTCGAGAACAAAGTTCTCTATTACGATCATTTATTCAATTACAGCGTACTTATTATGAATCAACAATACGAAGTATACGTCCTGAATATATATATGTTACTAAAGATAATACACTTCGAGTAAATTATTTTTTTTTATTATTGTTGTATATTTCGAAAAATAAAAATATACTAAATTTTTTTTTTCGTTTTAAGTTTATTGCCGATCATCAACAATTTCAAAGGCATTTTCAATCAAATGACGATTCAATTACGAATTGATGTCTTTTTTGTTTTATTATATAGATTTTTTTTTATTTTGTAAAAAAAATGTTACAGTGAATAAAAATCAGATTGATATTTAGAAGAACAAGTAATCATCCTTAAAATTGATTTTTTTTCAAAACAATTTGATTAAACATTATATCTAATTAATAATATTAATTGAAGATAATCAAAATCGATTTCGATCAAATATGTAATCACATTTTAACAAGGTATCATTTTGTTTTTTATTATTTCTTTTGTATTCCGAATGCATAATCTTTGAATACAAAAAAAATCATGACGGAAAAATAAGTTATAAACTTAAAAAATAGTAGAGACTGTTTACAATGACCTTGTTTTAAATTATGAAATTAAGAATACGAAATTCTATAAAAATGTAAATTTAAGTTCTTATCATTCCCCCGTAAATCATTACATTTAAGTTGTAACTAGAAGTGTAAGTCGAGCGACTGAGTTGCCACGGAGACATAAATATATACTAGACTTTTGAATGTTTTGGACATCCAAGATCAGTTTTAAGGACTTTTCTGATGTAGTTTCTTATTAGAACATTCGCTATCATCATTTTTCTTTTTTCTATTCCACAGTTTCTCGAAATTAAGGAAATTTTTGAAATGAATCATCAAACCATTTCAGCCGCCACCGATTTAAGTATCGGCTTATACGTCTACTTGTATCGCAAAGTGTGCTTGAACTAACTGAATTCATGCTTTTTCTTCTGGATTATGATTTGTTACCGATAGTAAATACCAAAACTATTCAACAAGTTTTATTTTCAATTTTCTTCTTCTGTCATAAGTGTCCGAAAGAATCCAAATAGTGATTCGAATAGAGCAAATGGTTTCCAACAAGACTATAAGGAAATGAATATTATTATCAGATTACCAAAAACAGAGACTGCAGAAAACCAAATGGCTAGTTTTTCAACACTTAACACGGATAACTATGATTTTGTTTTGACTACATAGAACCATAGAGAAACTAATTCTCTACAAAATGAGACGTCTCTGAGGTCTCTACGATGTTTTTTAGTTGAGATACAGCTATCTTACAGAAGTTCCCATCTAAAGTCACTTCTTTTTTGCATTTTTCTATAGAACAATCATTTTTTTGACTTTCAATCAAATTGTTGTATCTCAGCTATAAAGCATCGCAGAGTACTCGGTGATGTATCATTTTGTAGAGGATGATTTACTCTATCGTTCTATGTAGTCTCAACAAAATTATATTTACACGCTCCAGACTATGTCTCTTGACTCGTTGAATTCAATTTTGAATATTGAAAAGTAAATTTATGTAATGGAGTTTATCGTGTGGATTTTTCTTTCGAGATTAGATTTTACTGTTTTCGAAAAATGTCTTCATCGTAAAAAAATAAATCTTTAATGAAAACTTATTTATTTAGAGATAATTAGGGGACGAAAATGGTGTCATCTTGGAGCTATGAATACTATTTGTTTCTGTGATCGATCAATATAATATCAAATGAAAGTTATTGAACGTGAATTACTCAAAACCTATGCGAGTTTTCATCCTCTTAGAAAAGGATCTAATTATGAGTTTCCTATTGTTACCGAAAACTGTGATTGTGGAGCCTTCAGTGTGATAAACAATTCAAAGATAAAGATTGGTTTCTAGCGACTACATTTCCTTCACCATTTCAGTTTTTTAATAATCATTCTACTAATAACTGCTTCCGAAGCTTCACGTCCATTCATCTATGCAGCTTTTGGTAATAAAAATTTAGTTAACTCATTTATTACTGTTTATAATTAGTTGGAAAAACAACGAGTAACGATAGGAGATCTATACTTAGATCTTTTTCAATATTCTGATCAATATGATTGATCATCACTATTCGATTATATTCTTCGAACACTTGTTAAATCTCTCAGATCCTAGCACTACTGTTTGTCTATTTGACTTTTTATGCATTAAAAGTCAATAAGATGAATAAGACAAAAAAATAAAGAAAATTTCTCGTGTATACTACGTATTACTTTATCATTTTCTCGAAGTTGTTAGCCACTGTTTTGATTGAATAAGAACAAATCAAAAACGTGTTGAAGTCATTCCAACGAAAGAAGTAAGATTATAAGGAACGCTCATAAGATCAATGAATACCTATAGAATAATATCTTAAACTTTCTTGAGAAATGATTTACATGTTACTACTTGCTTGTTCTTACAAAAAACTCGAGAAAATCATAGCTTGTGACTAGATTACTTCTGCTCTCATAGTTCGACTATGATCAATACAAAGCATTTTAAGGTTTTTTTTTCATTTCTGGAATTTGGCTCATCGACAACTGAATATAAAGCAAAATTTTCTGAATATTATGTTAACAGATGAGCGCAAAGATGATCAATTCATAAGTGTATTGCTTTGCAGAGAACTTCTAAAGATTGTTTCCTTTTTCAAATGACATGAATCTGGTGAGTAACGAAAAAAACAATCGTGCTATTTCAAATACTAATAGTCCTGTTAATCAGCAGGACGATGATATTGCGTTTGCTTTTTTGTGTTTCCAAAACAAAACAAAGACTCATTCATTTCATTGCCACCTATAGCTTCTTTATTTTCTAGAATTTGATCTTTTAATGTTGAAATTTCTCAAAATTCTGCGAAAAGAAATAGCTTGCTTCTCTTCTTTTTCTTTCCAAGATAAGTATTTTTGCTTCTCATGAAAGAAAAAGAATGCATTGTTAGCAAAGTGCCCGAAAGAAACGTATCCATTCATTTTTCTATAAGTGTTAATTCTTGTATCCTTCTATCGTTAAGACGTATGTGATTCTTGTTTTCTTGATTATTATTGATTAAATGAGTGATATATTATCGAAATAAGAGCAATTCTGTAGATCAATGTAGATTCGAAATGAAATGCGCTTGCTTGAATAAATTTATTTGTAAAAGAATAAGAATGACCAGCTTTAGTTATTACATGAGAAGACAAACATAACGAAAATAATAAACAAATGAGAAAGCATGAAGATAATGAACAAATGAAAAATCATGAAGAAAAATAAGGTCTATATGTATTATCTTTTAAATATCACGATCAAGTTGCATAAGATGAAATAATTCCGCCATCATCGCAGCTTTTTGAGTATCTATTGCGTTATATGTTGCTAATTGAGCTGCTGTCATATTAAATTTAAGGCCAAGTGGTGCTTGACTGATTAATAGGTCCAACTGGAACGTCAATTTCATGATTTCGAAGCATAGACGGTTTTTCTGAAAAACAAAATGAAGACCATATTAAGTATTAAGTACAAGAGTGTGAAAAACTTAAGGGAACAAACATGACAACAATTATTGTTGAAATTAATTTTCTTTGTTAAAAATTAAATAAAATTTTTAATTTTATGATTGTTGCCATTTTCTTACATATATAGAGATGTGCAGAACATAATCGATGATACGACCACTCGAATAAGAATTGAGTACCGAAGATTTTAGAATGCTATTATCGAATCACATTTCTTTAATAACGTCTACTCAATGACGATGAAAATCCACAGAATACAAGAAATAATATAGACATCGTATGAGCCACTGTTTTAAATGAATGCCATAATTATAAGACATGAATGTATAGCTGTGACAAATCATTGCACAAAATCGAACGTTTCCTGAAGAATATTCGTTTTTACAGAAGACTTTTTTGAGAAAATTTTTGAAATATTAAGTAATACTAAGAAAAATTCGGTAAGTGCGAGACTAAATCAGAACAATTTGAGGAGAAGCTCTATATAAAAGAGACAAAGTAAAAACAGCGTCAAAGACTACATACTTGTGCTATGTCGATTGCCATAATTAGACACGAACTTTGAAGAAAGGGGAGTAATGAATGATGTGATAATGTATATCGTATATGCCCTTATATTTATGTCGTCTATTGAATAATGACCGGCTATTTTGCTCAAGAGAAGAATAGTTCAATTTTTGATAAACAACGTAGCCGAAAGAGGAAAGGCGGTAATATCGGATCATTATTATCACTTTCTCTCGCTCTCTCAACTGGTTCATGTCGTCAGTATCGTCTCTAACGTTTTCTTTTTCTTTCCATCTTTATCGCATATTTTTTTCGAAAAATATCAGCACATGAACTTACGATTACCATTTTCGATTGTATTGGCAGATTCATATACTCATTGATGTTTTGATAAGAATTAAAATGTATGTTTGCCATCGAGATACAGCTGATATAGTAGAACAGATGTAAAATACACCACTATAAATTGAAGTAACAGGTCACTATAAAAACGACAGACGACGATATGTTAATGCCTTTATTCTGTATCTATTACAGTAAAATAAATGCGAATATAGTTTTCGTTTCTGTTATTTCTCTCTCTTTCACTGTTTAAAAGAAAGAATAGTGAATATGTATCATCCATATTAGAGGACGAACTACAAAACAAACTATTATACCTCGATAATAGATATTACGAGAGGAGCAAGTAATGAATATGTTATCTCGATGCATGGTGAGATGTTGACTACTTTATCTGCACGAAGTGAAAACAACAATTAACAACTATAAGATTATAAAAGCTATTCGAATCAATCTAAATTTAAGTATCTTTCCAGTTCAATTTAGCTAAACATCTCCATCTCAAATCGTCTTACTAAAGGAATATTAGTATAATAACTGATTTGAGCTGATTTTTTAAAATTTTACTATAAATCCGAGTATTCATTTCAGTATTAAATGTGAGCAATGAAGGTGTAGAGTAACTCTTTCAGACTATATGACTTTTTTCTACTATGATTAACTTGTCATATTCTATCAAACGGTGGAATTTGGAGTCTCCATAAGCCTAAGAAATAGCAAACTAATCAGTCCAACCATCCTCTTGAGTATAATGGATGAATAATGTGTAGAAAAGAGTTCTTTATATAAAAACAGTTCAATGGAATTGATCAAAGTTTAAAGTATTTCAGATGACAAAACATAAAACAATCGATTTTTACATGTTTAAATAACTATTCACTATTGTATGCAACAGATCAAATTAAGTTGATCAGGTTTGACATTAGAAAAGAAAAGAATATTTAGATGGAACAAAGGAGCGACAAAAATTCCACTCAGAATGAAACAGTTAATACGATTGATTGCAGTTTGTTGTCTTTAATAAAGATAATCAAAACCTATCGAATATACACAATCAGATAGCTTTTAGTCATAGATCATAGATATTTTATTATGTAGTTATACTACATCATAGTTTTCTAGTATCATAAATAACCACTTATAATCATCCTTTATTCCGTTCTGATAAACTGTGAAACGGTGTACTTTACAAGATCATATTCGATGATAAAGTCTATATATATATATATATATATATATATATGTATTTGTTCGTATGATACTTTTATAAATAATTGTAGAAAAAAGGGATAAGCAGTCACGTTTGCGACATTAAAACTTATAAGCAATTCGTTTTATATGAACTATTGATAAATTATTGAGCTCAGTTCTTGGAAAGTATGCATCTCTGATGTATCAATAAACATATGCAAACTGTTTATCATTGCATATAATAAGAAATTTCATCGTAAAAATTCTTTTAGAACGATAATATATATCAGAATTTAATGCATCTATATATAAACTAAACGATTATTTCATATTTGAAATGAAATAATTATTAGAAAAAGGTCTTTTTCATTAACCCATTAAGGATGGTTGGACACTATATGTCTCACCGTCCTCGGAGGATTAATTATCGGCTGATCGATTCTTATGCGAGTTTTATTTCGAACTAATTAAACATGTCTGTGAAAAATATTTCTAGATAACAATAAAATGAAATAATTTTGATTTTTATCAAAAATAAATTATGTTCAAATATAAAAAATTGAGAAACTTATCACGAAAAAAAATATTTAGCTTAAGTTTATGTTAGAAACTCAAAATAAAATAAGAATAAAATATTTAATTAAATGATTGTTTAATCGAAAAAATGGAATTGTTTGTTTATTAATAAAGAATATAAAACTCATTTATGACCACTAGTAGTTGAATCAGCTTTTCCACTGCCTGCTGTTGGGCTTTTCAGCCAACATATTGAAATTGCATTATTGAAAGCAAAAGGATTACATGATGTACCATTACTTAAACACGCTGAACAACAAATGGTTCATATCATTGATGTTAATATTGATATATCGTTATTTGGATAATTCCAATTCGTTCTTAGATTAAGACTTGCACAAAGTTTTAAAAAAAACATTATTCAACTATTTATTTAAGAAATTCTAATTAATAACCTGTTGTTGTTGCCGCTGCTGCCGTTGTTGTTACTATGGATAAAGAAGAATTTAAAAGAAAATTCTTTATTTTTGCTATTAACAGCTGTATTTTCAAATAAATATTCATTTGTTCTTTCAAATTAATTTATTCTTTTATTTTGTTAGAGTAAGAACGTCGATTATTAAATTTGTTTGAACACAATTTCATTTTAAATAAAAGATTATTGATTAAAAAGAATAAATAAAAAAGAAATATTTTTTATTAAAAAATTTAAAAATTAAGTAAGGAGAAATTGTATCGAAAGTCTTCCTAGAAAATAATTTAACATTGAGAAATTTTCAAAATCAATTATTTTACGTGATACATTTGAGAATATTAGTGATTGATGCTAAGGCTTCAAACAGCCAACCTTTTAAGGCAAACCAAAATCGATCTCACTAACACTCGCATCTCGACGCGTTATGCTTATTAATAGCCACTAATATCCATTTTGTATAAGAAATAAAAAATCTTCATCTTCAACAAAATCACACTAACACCCAAATTATCTTCACTAATACTTACAGGCGCTTATAACCTATGTTCTGACTTGAATAAATGCTATTTCTAAATTACTTTCCTTCACAAAATTTTCCTTCGAAACTGATAATAAAAATGATACAAAAATATATCATGAAATGTCTATTATGCAGACAAATAAAGATCATCAAAACAAATGTAAACGATCAAGTGTATTTTTAAGCTTCTAAATGAATTACAGAGCTGAACAAATACATTTTTGAGCGTTCACACGTGTTTTGATGATCTTTGTTTGCCTGCATGGTAGACATTTCATGGTATATTTTTGTATCATTTTTATTATCAGTTTCGAAGAAAAATTTTGTGAAGGAAAGTAATTTAGAAATAGCATTTATTCAAGTCAGAACATAGGTTATAAGCGCCTGTAAGTATTAGTGAAGATAATTTGGGTGTTAGTGTGATTTTGTTGAAGATGAAGACTTTTTATTTCTCATACAAAATGGATATTAGTGGCTATTAATGAATATAACTTGTCGAGATGTGGGTGTTAGTGAGATCGATTTTGATTTGCCTTAAAAGGTCGGCTGTTTGGAGCGTTAGCATAAATTCCTAATACTCATGACCTGTGGTATGGTTGATGATCTTCATGAATCCTTTCATATATTGTTTTGATAATCACTTTTATGCTTATATTAAAGCGTTCATGAAATTCATGTAATCCTACGGAGGAGTTATGAAAATGCACGATATAACAAACCATTTAAGAGTTTATGAATATTGTAAATCCTTTCATCAACCTTTCACAACTGGTATTTGAAAGTCATAAATCTTTTCATATATCCTTTTTCCAGAGTATTTAAAAGGGATAAGCAAGATTGTACACTGTAAAAAAATGAGCGGGTAATTAAAAACCCTTATCATCTTGCTCGGTTAACGATGACGACCGGTTATATGATTTTTTTGTCATAGAAAAGTTTGTTCATTCAACTTTAAGTTGAATAAGAAAGTTTTTCTGTTCTAATATCGCTTACTTCTCATACATTTCATAATATTGAATTTTCTGTCTTCATTAATGTTGTGTTCTTATATTTTCAAACTAACAATAGTGCAGTCAAATATGTTATAGAACAATCGACTAAATGAACCGTTAGCCATCGTCTCAAGCATTGTCATTGGTTAAAATGTAACAATGGCATATTCACTGCAATGAACGGTCGATGACGAGCTTTTGTCTCACTAAGTCTTCTGTCTTTGTTTACAGAAGAATAAAGCGAAGAAGAAGCGCATGGTTGAAGCTAGCTCCATGGAGCGGGTGCTTCGGAGTCGGAGCTGCCTATCTCTGCTTCAGATCATTCATGATGGACTTCTATATTGAATATTGAAAAATTAGTATATATCAATAAAAGAAAATTAAATATTGAATATTAATAATAGTAAAAAATTGACCTCGAATCTAAGTTCTTCATACTGCTCCATGTGTTGAAAAACTAGTGTTTTGGTTTTGTGGAGCTTTTATCTTTACCAATATGATAATCATTCTTATTTCCTTATATTCTTGTTAGAAACCAATGTCTCTATTCGAGTCACTATTTGAATTCTGTCTAGCGCTTATGGCAGCAGAAAAAAATTGAAAACGAATTTTGTAGAATAATTTTGATAATCGTCATATATAGGATAGATTGTTGGAAAAGATACAAAATATAAGCTTTGAATAATTTATAAAGGTTAAAGATAAGTTTTCAACATTGTATTTCCTATAGTGTTTTATCTGCTTTAATCCTCTTTTTTTGCAAAGCATCTATTCGTGCCTTTACAATCAGATTTCTTTTTTCTATATAAATAAGAAGATCATTTTGAAAAGATGAAATTCAATTACTTGTACTTGAATTTTCTCTATAATGAAAAACTAAAAAACACATATCATTTTAGGAACTTATTCTGGACTCGTGAACTAATAATTTCAGCTGACAAATTATTCATTATTACATTATCGAATTTTCAAAGTTTTCCCTGTTACTACCAAACGTCATAATCATACATTAGATTATTGTACTCAGTGATAATTTATAACGATAAAGTGTCAACAGAAACGTAGGTGTCTTATTATGTAAATATAGATAAATAACCAGAACTAACAATTCCTAGACTATCATCTAGCTAAATCTAATTAATAGATCAACAAGAAGCTACTGAAATAATAATCTATCATTCTCATGACACTGATATTGACTAAAAATTTTTACAAAAGACAATCATTAGCTATTTACGATGTACTAATAAATAAAATTGAAAAAGTAAATGAGTAATGTCCATCAGATATGATGTATTCAATATAAGTAATTTTATTGGTAATAGTTTTCATAATTTTTTTAGTAATTTATTAAATGCATCAATAATGAAATGGATCAGTACATTTTTACAGAGAAATGTATCGAACAAATTGACCTCTTCAGCAGACCTAATCACACCATCATCGATGAATATTCAAATATTAACTCCTACGCATGCAGTGTCAGACTGTACTTCCCTCATATCATGCTGTCAGTTGCGTTGTTTGACGCCACATGCATCTGCTTTTTTTGTATCTCACAACATTGCAGTTTATTTCTTATCATTTATTGCCCAATAATGGATTTTATCACAGAAAATAAGCATTTTCGTCAGCAATTTTCTTATCTTGTGTAAGGAACATTATATTGATGATGTATATATAGAGCAGACTGTTGAGATTTTTCTTTCAATTACGTCTATGCCATTTTGAATGTTAATCTCGAAACGTATAGCAGAACCAGTTCGTAAAACTTGGAAAAATGTACGTTTCGATGTTTGTTTTTTTTCTAGTTCTAAAAAGAAATATGAAATTTTATTTTATTCTAGCAACCAGCATCATCACTTGGCAAAGCTGTTTTTAAAGATTGATTTATATATTCTGTTTTAAACTTTTATTTGCTTGCTTGTGAATCAACTTATTGTCTTATTTCCAATTCTTCATTGATTACCCATCTTACTACGAAATTATACGACTGAAATGGACTCATTTTCTCGGTAAGATAGATTTATTTTATGCATGAACTATATATGACTTCTTTATATTTGAATAGAAACATCCGTACAAGTAGTGTTGCCTCCGGAAATGTTCCTATGCATGAACCATTATCAACGTTCGCGTCATCTCGGTCATCATCACTGTCTTTTTCTAGTTGGGGAATTCACTATAAAACAATTCATGAACCTGAAGTTAAAGGTGTCTGGGATGGATATCAAACACAAGAAGAATTCATGGTGATGCATCTTCGTTAAATAGTGATAAGATATTCTCTTCCTTCCATTTACAATCATGAAGAACTACGCTTTTTCTTTTGTCTTGTTCATTTTTATTATGTTTGTCTTTCCATTCAGTTTTTGTTTGTTTCGCATTTTTTTTTCTTTCATTTGAATAGCTGAAAAAAAAGAACTATTTTAATTGTGAAATTATTTGATTTACTAATACAAAGGAACCATTGGACATTAAACGAAAGATCATTTTGAAATTTTCTGTTATACTATTTTAATTAAGCAATTGATAGAGATTCTCTACAAATGTCTGAATTCGATCTATCCAAATTAATCATACACTATGAAAGATAAGCTTCATGATGTCTATATCGAATGTTCTAGAAATTATATTTATAGAGAGTATATTTGTTTTAAAGGTCGCAGTTTAAAGGACATTGTTCTTTTTTTTCTAGAACTAACTATTTTAGTAAATAGAATAAATATTTCATTCTTACAATATACGATATTAACAAAATTTCGCATGATATCATTAGATAATAAACAGTCAGATGACCGATATCAGTTAGAAGGTCATACTTATTCGCAGAACACAAAAACAAGAGCAAAGTCTGCATTTTTCGAAAGTAGCTATACTAAATAACGGGTGGGGCAAAAGTTTTGCATTAATTTTGTTTTTGATATAACCCTGCAACGCAATGTCGTACAGACTTGATTTTTTTTGTTAGAAAGAGCAAAGTGTCTAGTGCAAAAATACATAAAAGAATTTGATTTGTAATGCTTTTCAAAGGTTACAATAGTTTTAGAACACAATGCTCCAAAAAACTCTTCCGCAACTTTCGTCACATTTTTTTAATCCAAAAATATTTGTTTGAGCCTTTTTCATTAGCCACTTTCGACACTTTCGAGCACCATATATATACAGTTGTTCATTACAACGAAGGTTTTCATTTGGTATTAAAATAATTGGTATAACATACAAGAGAATGAACAAAAGGCGCGTTGATAAAAACAAATTAGTTGTTCGAATTTGGTTTTACAGCGTGAAAATAAGTTTTTTTCTGAATATCTCATAGAGAAGTTGCGTCCTATTCCAAATAATATTATTTGGTAGAGTACTCAATAAACTTTCTTTTCCATATAAAATATATAGCTTCTAGCAATCTCTCCTGCGAAATAGAGTTTATTTTTTCGATTGCTACCAACACTGATGAAAAATCGATGGCACAGACGATATCATAAAAGCGTTCATTTCAACCGTTATAAAACATGTAGAAAATTTCTTTTTTTGTAACGCAATAGTGCTCTATCCTTATATTATAAAATCCGGATTAGACGAATAAAAAGATAACCTGTCTAATTATAGGAATTCTTTTCTAAGTTCAAAAAAGTTGCGGAAGAGTTTTCCAACGTCTTCTGTTCTAAGATTGTTGTAGTTTTCGAGAAACATTTCCAATCAAACTCTTTTATATATTCTTGCACTAGACACTTTGCTCTTTCTAACAAAAAAAGAATCAAATCTCCACGACATTGCGTTGCAGAGTTATATCAAAAGCAAAATTAATGCAAAACTTTTGCCCCACCCGTTAGGAACGATAGTAATATGAATATACTTCAACGAACAGTTACTATGAATTCGACATGAATGATTATTTCCTACAAATAATCATCTATTGTGAATATCATCGTCAACATAACTATATTGAAAACTGTATCATCATCAACCACTGATTTGTCTAATCGTTAAATCAAAAAAAAAAAGAAAATCTGATTCATAAATATCGAAAGATTCTGTTTATAATTAATATAACAATAGAATTGATTTAGAAAGAAAAAGAAACCCACGAGCAATTAAACGTAATAGTGATCGTGCACTTTGATATTCTCATATCACGAATGGACTGCATGATAATACACAACATTGTGAGAGAAGTACTCCTGTTGACTTAATCTGTTGTCCTTATCTACACTCTTCTGCGTTTTTATTTAATTCCGAGCTGAATTATACCTGGTTCCGTATATATATATATATAAGGACAAACGTTGGGGCATCTTCATTTCATTTACTATTTACCCAAGCGTCTCTTTATTATTAGCAACACTATATATTCTTCTCTTTTGTTGGTAAGATCTATTTAAAAGTCAAAGGAATATATTCTGTTGATTATATATTCATTTAGTGTTTTATGTTTGGATGTTAACTTCGAAACGCTTAACTAAACCCGTTCGTAAAACTTGGAAAAATGTGAGTTATTATATATTTTTATTCTATATTTTTTCAATTATTCTTGTCTTCTATTATAGCAACCTGCTTCATCACTTGGTAAAGCCGTACTCAAAGATTGATTTATATTTTTCTTCTTAATCTTCGTGTGCATTTCGTTTGTTTTTTGGTGTTTTCAACTTTTAAACAATAATCTTCATCGATTTTTTCAATTTTTCTTCCAATCTATATTCAAACCATCATCATGGCTGAATCTACTACTTTCCAGTAAAATAGATTTTTTTTGCAGAATAACTATAAATGCTTATGTGTCTTTATTTAGACTTGTTAACTTACGCAGTAATTCAATGACAAATACCGATGCAAATGATTCATTATCATCAGGATCACCACGTTCATTGTCACCTTTGAATGGATGGGGAATTAAATATCAGACATTCCCAAAAAAAACTGATTCAAAAGGCATCTGGGATGGATATGAAACGAAAGAAGAATTTATAACGATGCATATGCGTTAAAATAATTATGGTGCGATGTTTTCGTATTGATGTGACAATAAAATGAACTACATTTCCTTTTTTCTTTTTCTGTTTGATTTAACAAATTCAGTCGATTGATTTTTATTTATTCCCTTTTATTATGTTGAAATAAAATTGGTGATAAGACAAACGATAATTTTTAGTTTTTGAACTAAATAACACAATCAACATTGAAAGCTATTCAAGGACATGCGAAAGATTAATATTCAAGAATTTCAGAGGATTGTGGTCCTTTTCCCAACTGAAAATGTTTAAATTTTTCATTTTTATTTTTATGCTGACCTATGTATGCCTCGAAGTGTCCTCTATCTACTAGACATATTTCAAGAATTAATGTACAAACATAACAGTCGAAAAACTAGAAAAGATGAAATGTTTTCGCTACAAAAACTGACACATAATTTCTCTGTTTTTGAAAGAGGGTGTGGGTAGGTGCACTCACACCTACTCGATTTAGAACTTCATTAAGACTAGTCGATAGAAAATTTTCTTTTTTTTTCAATCTACATAAAGCTGACATTCATTGCTTGTTCCGTTCAAGAGGTATAAGGCTTTTTCTGAGACTCCCAATTTCAATCAATTGACCTGTGATCACTCTGAAAAGCAGTCAGGCAGGGATAAATCACGGTACTAAGTCGAGTTGTGATATTTGTTTTAGTTTCGAACTGATCTGACACTATCATCTCAATATTTCCGAAATTGTACAATCAACCTCCATGTAACGAAGGACTCAACATTTCGAAGATATTGAGGTAATAGTGTTAGATCAGTTTGAAATTAATAACAAATATCATCATTCGACTCAGCACGGTTAATTATCCATTCGAAGCTGCTGTTCACGCTGATTACAGGTTAATTGGTTGAAATGGAAGCTCACGAAAAGTTTTATAACTCTTGAACGGAACAAGCTACGAATGTTGGCCTTGTGTATATTGAAAGAGAAGACATTTTTTCTGTTGAGTAGTCTTATTGAAAATCTAAATCGAGATGGAAATAGCTTCAGAATATCATTTTCGAAAATCTTCATCAAGAACTTCCCTGATTGATTAATTACTGGCTACTCAAATTTCGATATGCTTCGGTGGCTCAAGATCTTCTCTTTTAAATGATGAAAGCTGCAGGTCGCTACGATGTTTCTATCAAAAGTTATTCGAAAGACAGTGGAACACATTATTTTGTGAAATGAATAGTAGGAAGTGTTTAGGATATCTATTCTTTTTTTGTTTTAAAATATAATGTACCTCTGGTTTTTATCAGAGTTGATAAAAAAAGGTTACGGTTAAAACACTCAAAAAAGAACAACATTAGTTTTTCGAGGGCACGGTCGGTACACTGAAAACAAATAGTCCTTTACAGAACTTGAAAAGAGTTTCGTAAGAGCTACAAAACCTTTGAAAATGTTTACTATATACATGATGAATTCTTCCAAGAGTTTTGTACTAATGTACGAAACCTAAAAAGGGTATCGAATTGGCTAAAATTCTTGAAACCTTTTTGTTCTCAATGTATTTGGATCTTGTTATTTACATAGAAGGGGATAAAAGAAACTGGAAAAAGTAGACACACCTAACAGTGTCTAGTATCTGTAATAAAGATTTCAACTCTATCAGACATATTGCAGCTGAGGCAGTGAGTTGACTTTAGCTTTTGTTAGTGCGACATCTTCTAGAAGGAGGCATTTTGGAAGGGTGTTGGTGTATAAAAAGTTTTTCTCTATTTATTGAGACCTATCTGCTTTGAAAGTTTCGAAATTTTCTGATGAGTCATTCTTCAAAAATGATGAAAAGGCTGAAATGTCCTTGAGACATTGTATACTAAAACCGACTAATCATGTATGTGTATAATGTAAATCTTGTCTGCTTTTTGAGTTATGTGTATTATATATAGAGTGTTCGAAATACTTGAAACATTTTCTTTCTATTCTGAAAAATGGTTTATTTATGACAGCACCATCAACTGTATTTGCTGACATGTTTGGCAAATATATAAAATTTCATAACAAAAACAAATAATAATAAACAACACCTGGCACTGCTTGATATGATCGATAAATGTTTGCGATATTATCAATAGTTATTTAAAACTTTTTGAAAAAATATCTTTTTGTTTTAAATTATCGTAAACATATATCATAGAAAAGAAATTACGAAAATCTTTTATCAATTAATTGTATTCTAAACTATAGAAAGAAAAAAAACTTATGTTAATTCTTACATTATTAGTAAAAAAAAATGAAATATTCTAATTCTAATATATTCTTGAACAAATCGTATGCCATTTCATGAATAATCACAAAAATGATTCATCATATATACGTATATATGCAAATTCATTTATTCTTTCAATTCGGTCAGTGGTTTTCTTTGACGTAAACACTTATTCATACCCACCCCCTCATCATTTGCTTCCACTGCTTCGAACTTCATCAGTTTATTCGTTCGTTCTCACTCCATTACACTGTAGTTATAAAAAATATTGCGATAGAACTTCTCTTTCATTCATTTTGCTCTGTCGCTTTTGGTAAATATCGTGTACGATACTTTTATATTTTCTTGATCACTAATGATGTCGTATTCATCACTCTGTGTCCTACTATTACTATTCGTAATCAATGTTGATAGTGAAAGATTTTCTCCAAGACATCGAATGCGTCATCTATGGAATATAATAACAGACAAATTTAAAGACACAGCAACTAATAAATTTCATATTGATATGCGTCATTTTGATAAAGAAGAAATGATTCTTTTTCCTGAGATAGCATATCAATCATTAAATAATGATAGTATATGGAAAATAGTAACACATGGTTGGCGATATGAAGGTAATAGAAGAAAAAATTGGATTGGAATTAGTACAAGTCTATGGATAGAACGAATTGCTAAACATATGTTGAATGAAAATGATATATTATATCTTAATGGATCAATTAATCGTGATCGATTGAAACCATTTTTTGTTGAGGATGAATCAAATGAACAGATAAAAATTAAAATCAATGACAAAATATTTCCATTTCGAACAGATAGATACGGACAATTTAATGAAGAAATTGAAATAACAAATGATGAAATACAAAAATTAAAACAACAACAACAAAGAAATGATTTTATAACATATGACGCTATTGGTGATAATCAAGATACAGCAAAAGGAATTATGCAACTTATTGAACCACGTAAAGGTATTTCTATTATTAGTGATGTTGATGATACAATTAAAATATCTGAAGTATTGGATAAAGTACGATTAATTGCAAATACTTTCATATTTCCATTCAAACCTGTACCAGGTAATCATAATCAATAGAACCAATATAAGAAAAAAATCATTTTTCTTTTTCTCATTCTCCTAGGCATGGCTGAATTATATCAAAAATGGCATATAAACAATAATAATTGTACCTTTCATTATTTATCAGGTATGCCCGATCAATTATATACATTAACCCATGAATTTATTTATAACAATAAATTTCCTGATGGATCATTTCATATGAGACATTTTGGTTGGGCAGCGTCATCTATTTTTGGTTTTCTTCATTCAGAATCAACATTTATTCATAAAATAACTTATTTACGATATTTTCTTATAAATACAATTCGTGATTATGTATTAGTTGGTGATAGTGGAGAAAGAGATCCAGAAATTTATGCAACAATTGCAAAAGAATATCCAGAACGTGTACGAGCTATTTTTATTCGAGCAATTAAAGGTGAAACTTTTGATGATGAACGTTTTCTAAATACTTTTAAAGAAATACCACGAGAAAAATGGCAAATATTCAATGATCCACAACAAGTACCTATCGATTTATCACGGGCACCAAGAGCTGCAGCGGCTTAGAAAATGATAATTTTTTGAGAAAAATAGTTTTCTAAATAGAAAGTAGTTTATAAATATTTGTCTTATTTATTTAATTTACTCATTTGAATTTCGTTCATTACAAATTAATGGTGTGCACAGTTGAGACTGTTCCCATTGATGACTTATGTATTTTAAAATTCTATTTTATATTTTGATGTAATGAATTTATCTATCAATTCGTCTAAATATTATCTATTTTCAGTTTTTATTTGTTCATTTGAAGGCAATAAAAAATGTTAGAGCAAAGTTTCAAATAAATTATTGCTCTTGACATTTAACAGTGATTTCAAGAATGCATAATTTGCTTCGCGCGAATTGCTTTGTTTGTCTTGTTCTACATATCTGTTCTGTCTATACACATTTCATTTTGATTAGCCTTTAGCGCAAAATACTATGTGTTCAGACAAAAACGATGTCGTGCCTCAATAATTAACAAGAAAAGTTGCTTATTATAAACTTCAACGAAGGTAAATATGATCTACGGATCAAAAACAGTCGCAAGGACGAAAACATGTGCTGAATAAGAACTTTCTTGTTCGGTACCGGAGCGACATTTTCATATAAACTAATAAAATACAAATAATTGTGAATTGTCATATTAATATCAGAAGTACACACAACATATGAATTCAATCGTGTCACATAATTCACAGAAGAAATATTGAAGCAAAGAACCAAGAGAACCATGTACGTGAAAAGTTGTTAGTTTTTGATAGTATTGCAGAAAATCGTTAAGTACGATAATTATTTATCGATTGATTCTCATGTTCAAGTTTGTAGGTTTCAATCAACAAAATTTATTCTTCATGCCAATATTTTATAAGCATAATTGATGATGCTTTATATACCACTAATTTAGCAAGTAACAACAACTGAACTCATCAGATATAAAAATATGATTATTTTGCCTATACTACAGTGCAGATTTTGTGTTATCTCTTTTGATGAAAGCTTATCTCTTACAGTGCCTTTGCATAGATTCAATGACAATCAGTACTGTCATTTGTTCATCATGCCAATCGAATAGATTCTTTGACGACTTGTTAATTAACTTTTCAGAGAACAAGAGAAACTATCGAAAGAAAGAGACATTCGTTCATTATTAAGCAATGTATAAAAATTCTTGCTTTTCTTTTGCCTAGATCTCATTTACTTTTCATACAATATGAAACCACTTTTAGTATTAATGAATAAAAAAATTATCGTTATCAATATAGATTAAAAAAAAATGACAAAATGTAATTTGTACTCGACAATATTAATTATGTCATTCATTTTAAGTAATAACAAAGAAGATCTATCTATATTAATCTATTATCTAGAATGTGAAGTTTGTACAACAGATTGTTTTAGAAAAACTTTTTAAAAATTGTGTTTTATACTTTAAATTAATAAAATATATTAAAAAAAAACTGAATAATTATTACTGAACTGAACATGTGAAATGCTTACGTATGTTCTTTTTCTGCAACGTTTAGCGATTGATATAAAAAATAACTAGATGCACGCGCATCACTTTTTCTTCTATAGAATAAGAGGAAAAAGAATATTTATCAAGAGATATCATTCTATTATAGTCCGGATGCCAGAGATAGGACTAATTCGGGTTCTAACAGAACCAAATCGAAATCGTTTTGATTTGAACTTTTTAAAAAACTAGGTCGGTCCATAGTTCTAATCACACATATTTACATAGGGCAGGCGTTTTTCTCATTGTCATTGTGATGCACGTTAAAATTTTGTGAATCTTAAATGTGAACAAATAAAATTTGAATATTATTTCTTCACGAATCGTAAAAATTAATGAAAGAAGAGTAGTTAATATATCACAAGACAGCAAAATTTCTTTTTATTATACACATATTTCGAACGGATATAAATCAAAAATCACTTTAGCAAGATTGTGAGTGATGATATATTCATTCTGCTAGTTTCACTTATATGCTCTCACAATGATATTGGTGTCATTGAGAGAAAAAAACATTAATATAGCAGCACTTTTCTAGTACGAAGTCGAATGAAAACGGAACTTTTGTATTCACATATGGCCACAACAGTCAAAAGCAAACTATAAATTCTTTGTCACTCATAACTTTTATTCAAGTAACGAGTAGTCTATCGAAACACAGAAGAAAACAATGTCTAGTTTTGTTCCGAATATTGATTCGAAATAGAACTAGAACTGTTTACTCGTATATGGTACGACTAAAGTTCATAACTGCAATTAGGCAGCTCAAAATTTTGGAAAACCTATTCAGTAGCAGTTTGCGTGGGTTTGTAGATGAAATTTGGATAATAATAGATATAAAGCTTTTGCTTGCTTGTTATATCAATTTGTAAGGCGTTCATTCAAGTGTTTCATTCATTTTCAAATTGACGATAGATACTTCGGTCTTTCATTATTTTCAAACTCCAATTATGCATATCATCACTACTCTGATTGCCATGGAACACGTACATATCACTGATGGTTAAGCACAATGAGAACGGTTGTTTTAATTTAGTCATTGATGAATGATCAGCAGCATATTTGGCAAGTAGAAATCGTTGTTTGATTGTTGTCTCAATTAAAATTAAAATGATGTGTCTTTTCGTTCACATTATCAGTATGACAATCATATGCATAATGAAAAAAATCAAACGGACGATGTTCTTGTTGTTTTTTTCGTTCTTGTCAGAAAGAGAAAAAAATTGTTTTTTTTGAAAGAATCAAAGAAAAATATACGACGTGTGAGATAAGCTATCTAATGCAATGAAACTTAAGTCACGGTTCACATGAAACGTAAACGAAAGTCAGAAGAAAAATAATCATAAAATTAATGACGTTATTGTTTTTTTTCCTTTAAACTGTTTTTGACAAGCATATTTTCAATTAAAACTAGGTAGAGATTATCCATGAGTGTCAACGAAAAAAACAAAATATTCACATTTGACGTCATAAGTGAATCTAGAAAAAAAATAACGTGTATCTAATATATAAATATAAAAGGTAAACTCTGCCCAAACAGCAATTTATTTTCACAATACACGATTACAGATCGAACAGCAAACATTACATTAAAAATGAATCGACAACGAAGACGACGCATAGTTGAAAACTACGTGGTCATCTGGGTCGATGGAAATATTGACATGGCAAATGAAGATTGTCAACATACACTCGCACAACTGCGCGCTGTCGTCAATCAAGTGAATATTTGTAGCACGACAGAAGAATGTATTGAATGGCTCAATAAAAATAAGAAGGAGACATCATTCGTTATCTCCTCTGGTGCACTTGGACAACATCTCGTACCAGACATTCATGATATGCTAAAATTAGATGCCATATACATTCATTGTCCCAACAAGCAACTTCATAAAGCATGGACTAAAGATTGGACAAAAATTAAGGGTGTCCACAAATCGATCAAGTCCATATGCCAAGCATTGCAAATAGCTGTCAAGCAATGCAATCAAAATAGTACAATGATCAGTATTATCGATGTCAATGAAGGAAGTTCTAGCGAAAATCTCAATAAACTAGAACTTTCCTTCATGTACTCACAAATATTCAACGAAATCCTCCTTGAAATGAAACACAGTCAACAAGCAATCCAAGATTTGGTCAAGTTTTGCCAAGAAGAATATCAAGGCAATATCAAAGAAATCAAACTTATTGATAAATTTCAACGCACTTATCATCCAACATTGGCTATCTCATGGTATACACGCCAATGCTTTGCACACAAAATGCTGAATCGAGCATTACGAATGCTTGATGGTGACCTCATTGTCAGAATGGGTTTCTTTCTTTGTGATGTACATCGGCAAATCGAAACTTTACACAAAAAACAGATCAGTCAATATCATGGAAAGACCTTTACAGTTTTTCGGGGGCAGGGATTATTAACAACAGACTTCCAAAAACTCATCAAAAACAAAGGTGGACTTATGTCATTCAATAATTTGTTATCCGCCAGTAAAAATCGAAATGTCTCCTTCGACTTCGCAAAAGATGCCTTAGGAACAAACGATACGGTCGGTATTCTTTTCCAAATGACCATTGATCTCAGTGTATCATCGACTCCGTTCGCCTCCATCGAGCAGGTAAGCTATTTCAAGGATGAAGAGGAAATTCTCTTCTTCATGCATACAGTTTTTCGAATTGGCGACATTCGAAAAATTGACAATAATTGTCAACTTTACGAAGTTGACCTTAAATTAACATCAGATAACGACAAACAACTCCGTCAATTAACTGACCGTATACGAGAAGAAGTCGACGGCACTGGATGGGATCGATTGGGTAAATTACTGCTCAAAACAGGTCAATTTGATAAGGCCGAAGAACTGTATATCGCACTACTAGAAGAGACATCTGACAACAATAATAGAACACATATCTATCAGCAGCTTGCACACGTGAAATACGGCCAACGAAAATACAAAGAAGCAGCTTCACTTTTCGAAAAAAAACTCGAAATCGACCGAAAACGTCCATCGAAAGATCATGTCGATTTAGCTACTCACTCTAACAACATCGCTTCGGTGTATAATGCCATGGGTGACTACTCGAAGGCACTTGTGTTTTACGAAAAAGCACTGAAAATAAGAGAAAAAAATCTACCTCCGACTCATCCCTCGTTGGCTTCTACCTACAACAATATCGGTGAAGTGTATAAGAATATGGGTGACTACACGAAAGCACTTGAGTTTTACGGAAAAGCACATAAAATAGATGAAAAAGCTCTGCCTCCATATCATCTCGATTTAGCCACTTCCTACAGCAACGTCGGTGAAGTATATAACGGCATGGGTAACTATGCGAAAGCACTAGAATTTCACGACAAAGAACTCAAAATAAAAGAAAAAGCTCTGCTGCCAACTCATCCCGATTTGGCTACTTCCTATCACAACATTGGTCAAACATATAATAACATGGGTGACTACTCGAAAGCACTTAAATTTTATGAAAAAGCACAAAAAATCTACGAAAAAGCTCGGTCTCCGAATCATCCCGATTTGGTTACTTCCTACCACAACATTGGTCTTGCGTATAACAACATGGGTGATTACTCGAAAGCACTCGAGTTTTACGAAAAAGCACATAAAATAAAAGAGAAAGTTCTACCTCCGACTCATCCCGATTTGGCTACTTCCTACAATAGCATCGGTATAGCCTATTACGGCATGGGTGATTACTCGAAGGCGCTTGAATTTTACGAAAAAACACACAGAATACAAGAAAAAGTTCTGCCTCCGACTCATCCTTCATTGGCTGCTTTATACAGCAACATCGGTTCAGTGTATTATAGCATGGATGATTACTCGAAAGCACTTGGATTTTACGAAAAAGCATATAAAATAAAAGAAAAAACTCTGCCTCCGACTCATCTCGATTTGGCTACTTCCTACAGTAACATCGGTCAAGTGTATAACGACATGGGTGACTACTCAAAAGCACTTGAGTTTCACAAAAAAGCACATAAAATAGCTGAAAAAGCTCTGCCTCCAAATCATCCCGATTTGGCTACTTTCCACAGCAACATCGGTATAGCATATTACGGCACGGGTCACTACTCGATAGCGCTCCAGTTTTACGATAAAGACCTGGAAATCACAAAACAAGCTCTCCCTCCTTATCATCCTGATTTGGCTACTTCCTACAGCAACATTGGTCAAGTGTGTGACGCCATGGGTGACTACTCGAAAGCATTTGGGTTTTACGAAAAAGCACTGAAAGTAAGAGAAAAAGCTCTGTCTCCATATCATCTCGATTTGGCCACTTCCTACAGTAACATCGGTTCGATGTATTGCAAAATGGGCGACTACTCGAAAGCACTTGGATTTTACGAAAAAGCACATAAAATAAAAGAAAAAACTTTGCCTCCGACTCATCTCGATTTGGCTGCTTCCTGCAGTAATATCGGTCAAGTGTATAACGACATGGGTGATTACTCAAAAGCGCTTCAATTTCACGAAAAAGCATATAAAATAGTTGAAAAAGCTCTGCCTCCAAATCATCTCGATTTGGCTACTTTCTATAACAACATCGGTATAGCGTACTACGGCATGGGGCACTACTCGAAAGCACTTCAATTTTACCAGAAAGATCTGGAAATTACGAAACAAGCTGTGCCTTCTTATCATCCCAATTTGGCTACTTCTTACAGCAACATTGGTCAAGTGTATAACGCTATGGGTGACTATTCGAAAGCACTTGAGTTTTACGAAAAAGCACTGAAAGTAAGAGAAAAAGCTCTGTCTCCATATCATCTCGATTTGGCCACTTCCTACAGTAACATCGGTTCGGTGTATTACAGAATGGGTGACTACTCGAAAGCACTTGAATTTTACGAAAAAGCACATAAAATAAAAGCAAAAACTCTGCCTCCAAACCATTCTGATTTGGCTATTTCCTATAACAACATTGGTGGAGTGTATAATGCCATGGGTGACTACTCGATAGCACTTGCATATCTAGAAAAGACACTTGCCATCGAACAAAAATCACTTCCACCAAAGCATCCTACAATTAAAACAACGATAGATAATATTAACTCTATCAAAAAGAAGATGTAAATTTGTTTTTTTCTTGCTTGTGCAATAAATTGGTTTTGATTGCTACTCGCTTCTCTTGCCATCTATTCTCGGCTCATTATCATGTACCCGCAGGCACAACCAGGGAGACTCCCTGTAAGCCTGAAATGAGCATACGCAGAGCGGACCATGTCGGACTGGTAGGGTAATGAATGTGGATATAACGTAGAATAATGACGACAGGAACCTACGTACATAGCTAGTTTCCCGATTACTACAGTGCTTTCACCATAGGATGCACAAAAAATCTTCCTGTATCAGATTGTGAAGCCATCTGACGGGCTGTGATATACGATGATATCTCTTCCTCCTTCCCTACACAATAAGATCGTTAGAAATAAAAGTTTAACATAGAATATTAACAATAAAGAATTGCTAAGTACGTATGAAAATAAAACATCATTCTCTTAGGAATAGATTATGTCTATTTTATCGAGAAATTATATTGAGAAGCCCTATTGGCCTCTAGAACTTCTCGACTTATCTATATATGCTTCCTTTCGATTAGAAAAAAGAGTTAACTTACGAAGAAACCTGATGAGGTCTCCAATTGGTTTAGGCTTCATCTTTTGGCTATACGTAAACCTTGATGAGATATGAAAAAGCTGTAAAGGATTTGAGCCCTCATGGCTTTGTTCCCGAGATATCGAATTTTTAAAAAATGTTTCTTATAGTATCCAAGATTTTCAGCAAAATCGTATTATCGAATTTTGACCTGAAACTTTGTTTATATCAACCTCGCAAGTAGGCTAGGTTGTGTACGAAATTTCAGACTTTTCTAACGCAGTCTTTAAGAAATATGAATATTTCAAACATATTCATGTTTCGTACAATATCTGTAATAACGACCTATATTTTGAAACATTCATATTTCTTAAAGACTGTGTTAGAAAATTCTGAAATTTTGTACACAACCCAGTCAACTTGAGAAGTTGATATAAACAAAGTTTCAAATCAAAATTCGATAATTGATTTTGCTGAAAATCTTGGATCCTATGAGAAACATTTCTTAAAAATTCGATATCTTGGGAGCAAAGCCGTGAGGACTCAAATCCTTTACAGCTTTTTCATATCTCATCCAGATCTAATTACGGCCAAAAGATGAAACCTAAACTCGTTGGACACCTCGTTAGGTTTCCTCGTTAGTTTCTTAGATAAAACTGTATTTCTCTTACATCACTGCAGTTCTTTTTATTTAGAGATAACAAGAAAAAAAACAAAAAATAAAATATAAATATCAAATGAAACATCGATGAAAAGAAGCTTTCATTGTCTCTAGGCTAGATATCATCTTTTGTACTTGTTTAGTGAATTCGAATCGTTCGGTATATTGCAGTTGAACGAAAACTCATATTGAAGATTCAAAAAGCTTTGTACCATCTGGAGACAGGAATCTCCCTGACATAATTCGAACGAATTTCTAGCAACTTACTGTTCTCTAGAACACCGTAATACAAAGTACAAACTTTGTTATAACACAAAACACGCAAAGTATGAAGGTCGAATGCGTACGCGACCAACTACAGAAATGCTCTGCTTCGCACCGCAATGGGACTGTCATGTAATCAAAATAAGATACAATCTATAACTTGTCTTTGCAAGTACTGATACGAAATGTAACATAATTAAAAATAATATGTGCATCGACGAATAAAGTCTAATGCCTCGATATATTACTGCTGTCTTGGCTTACGGAAGTTCCATACGAATAGAAATATATTTTAGAAACATCTTCGTTGAAACAGAGAGAAATCAATACATCCATTTCAATCGATTCTCAAGCCATATGGAACAAATCTAAATACTATTCGTAAATAAACTTCTATTGATCATCGCTGCAGATGATCATTTTCTTGTGAATTGAATAGTGACAATAAAGATATGGTGCTGAATATACCGTCAAATGGAGTCGTACAAACATATGTAATACAATAAAAGAATGAATTAAAATGGATCAGTACTGCGCAGAGATTTTATGTTTACAAAATCTGCTCACTTGAATTCCATATCAAAAACAGCTGATATCACCTAATCAAATAAAAAAAACTATTAGTAGAAATCTCTATACACAAAAAAAAGCACACTATTTACATGAACATTGGAAATGATGGACGATGGAAAATAGGCAAAGAAGATTATATTAAGGTTATAATGAGTTGCTTCTCTCTCTCAAGGACGAGTCATCGACGAGATGGACTATTTTTGTAGTACTAAAAATTAAGGTAAATATTTTCTTTAATATTTTGAAAATAACTATTCTTTGCTAATCTCCTACTTTGGTGTTGCCCTAACTGACTTCAATAGAATCTGGATTTTTGTCAGTGAGATAGTTGAATAGATCATTTCGATATTTATGAATAGTTAATAGGAATAAAAAATTTGATAATGACTTGAACAGTGATCAACAGCTTATATGTCTTAGTACATACTATTTGAGGACAAAAGTTAGTGAAAATGTCAATAAAATAGACAAAGATTGTGTTGTACATTCATGTTTGTTTCAATTTCTTTGTTTATACATGCTTACTATAATAAAAGATATAGATCAATAAAATCGACGTAGTCACCTTGATAAAACAATGTGCTCATTTATTTGACTACCAAAGAGACTTTTATAAAATATTAAAAAAAAAGAAAAATTAAACATCTATAACGTTGAATTCGTACAATGTTGGACAAAATAATTTTTCAAATCAGACAGTGCATATTTCCACTAAGAAATTGAAAGAGAGTGCAAGCTTAAAACCGATATCCAAATTCAAACAAACTATAAGTAAACAGGATTGTCGATCATTGAAGATGAATTCATTAAATCAAGTATAAAGGCTAAGATTTCATTCGTAATATCGGCTTATATCTCAATCATAACTCTAAATTGTTTTCTATTGCTTTCGACTATTATGATGAAAGTCATCTTCATACTATACGATGTTAAGTGAAATCATTACTAATTGAATTCTCTTATAAATAATAAATAGTAATTTAGGCATGTTAAGTTTAATTGTCTCGTATAAGTTTAATTTATCAGAAGAAAAAAACATATGTTCACATTTCACATCACACAACAAATGACATATTATATTATTAATCATCGTTGTACTGTTGTTTCTAATAATTTTTCAGCAACAGCTTTACTACCGGTTTTTTTCTGTACAGGTGCAGTACTGTTCGATATTGATAAATACATTTCAAGTAGTAGAATTGTTTCTGTAAGTTGAAGTTGAGCAAGATCAATTCTATGAAATAATTCAATAATAAATAAATTTAAATTAATATTATTATTTATATACTTTCTAAAAGCAGCATCAAGTTTTTGTATTTGTTCTTTTTCCATAGGTGATAAAATATCTTCTACTTCTTTAATTTGTTCTTCTTCACCATTTTGTTCTCGAAGACTATGAATAATAGCATCAACTTTATCACGTTTATCAATTAATTTTCTATGACGTTCTCTTTCAAATTGATGTCTTTGCATTAAATTTGACATTGTCTATTTTAAAAAGAAGAAAATTTTATACAAAAAATTAATAAGATTATTTGTTGTTATTTTTAATATATTACTTTATAAGAATGATCAAGTAATGATAAAACACCATTGTATAAATTTACACGGAAAAAATAAAATGTTCGAGTTGGATTAAAATCATTTGCTTTTGATAATTCCTAGATTAAAAAATAAAAATAAAAAAAAAATCATAAACAAACAAAAAAAAAAATCTACTTCTAATGTTAACATTCCATCAATAAACATTGAATAAACATATTGTTGTGCTTCTTTTGCATTGATCATAGCCATATCTTCAATCTAAATAAAAATAAAAAACAAAAAATAAAAATTCAAAATTCAAATGAATTAACGACTTGTTTTTGTGATAAACATCCACGTTCTTCAAGCATATTATAAATTCTTAATGCATTTGAACCAAATCTTTCTCTTAAAAATGATTGAATATGAGCTTTAGTTAATCCACTCAATGCTTTTTGAAAATCTTCAAAAAAAATCGAGCAACAACAATTGATTTATATTAACAAAAAAAACCATTCGAAATCAAATATTTTCCTACCTACAATATAAGTTCCTCTTCCTTGATCACCAACTTTAACAACACAATTATTCTAACGAAATTTTAACGTTCAATCATATTAAATTTATAATTCAACCTTACCACATCATCCATAATAAGATTCATATATTTTTGTAATAAATCTTCATTCATTTGTAAACCAGCTGTTGCCATTGTTTTGGCAATCTGTAAACAAAGAAAAATTGTTTTTTTTTCAAGAAATAAAAAAAAATGATTTACTTCAATGAATGATATTGGTATAGTTCGCTCTGGACTTGGTTTTACTTCAGTTAAACGGAGTATTGTTCGAACGATTTCACCAGCATTCTAAAAAAGACAAATAAAAGTAAAATGATACTGAATAAAATAAAATTTTATTTCTTTTTTTTTTTGCTTTGATGTTTACTTGATCTATTCGATTTGTAAATGCTTGAATAAGTTCTTGATCACGTAAATAAGCAAAAAAACGTTGAAAATTAACTTTCCAAAAAATTTTTTCATCACCAAATATTAGTTTAGTTGATTTAAATTTTTTTGTTGATGGTTCATTAGATTCATCTTGTTGACTTGATATTAAATATTTCCATCCTTCTTGTGTTATTTCTGGTATTTGTACAAGATTTGTTAATGATTCTTCAACTACGGTTGAAATATTTGATTTTGTTTCATTTATTGTAATACGTTGTAAAAATTGTGCTGAAACTAATAATTTAAATGATTCTTTTATAGATTGTAAACTATGAATTTGAGGATCTTTGCCAGCTTTTATTAAACGTTCATATACTGTAACTAATAATGTACTCATACGTTGTTTACCATTTAATAAAAGTTCTTCAATTATTAATTCACCATCAAAACCATATAATTGTCTAGCACAATGAATACATTTTGAATAATGTAAAATATATAATGTTCGTTTGAGATTAAAGGCATATAAAATACGTTTAGAATTTGTACGAGCATCTTCATGACATTCTATTATATCATGTATAGCTAATGTTGCTAGAGATCGTGCAATATTAACTGCTGGAATATTAAGATCACGAACAAGAAGAGCAAATGGTAGTGGTCCTTTACGATTAAGATATGAAGCAACTTCTTTTGATGTTTCATCAGGAAATAAATCTCCCATTAAATCAAATGCTAAACGAATATGATGTGTAGTCATATCTAGAATACAATGAGTATCATATTGTTTATAAACCAAAGATTGTACATCTTTAAGTTAGATAATTCAAGTTTAAGACGGGTATGAATTCGACTAATTCATTAATTAGAATGTTCTATTATCATAGTATCAAAAGTAGATTTTGGAAATTTTTTTCATCGAGATTTTACTGTAGATAGGATTGGTGAACGATAAACTCGAGCAAAGTTTAGCATGAAATGAAGAACTAAGGAAAAAGATAGAGCTGTGGATAGAAATGACGAGAAGACTAACACTCTCATCGTTCCAGTTGCCCTATAAATGTTAGTTTTCTCGTTAATGACAAATAGAAGGAATGATGAGGAAGAATGACGTTTCGGAACTATGTTTTTTTTTGTTCTGATACAATTAGAATAGATTATATTCTATCGAAAGATAAATTCAGAGATTTGAATAAGACTCGTCGGGTTCCGGACCAATCCGATGGGTTCTACGTTTAAATAAATATGAAAAAGACTAATTTAGATAACCTCTTAATTTCTTGAATATTTAAAATTTTGAATAATATACAAAGAAATTTATTGTTTTTTTTGTTTATTGTTAAAATTACGACACATAAAATATAAAAATGAATAAACTTAGTCTTTCTTTCCAGTTGATTCTTTAATAAGGTCGACTTTTGTCTTCTTGCTTGATCCATCATCACGAAATGCGACATACAGGAAAGCGATTAATATAATATGAACGACAATAACAGCTACAGCAGCTGAATACATATAACTACTACTGTCTGTTACATTAAATATTCCTCCAAATATATAATCTTTTGTAATAAAAAATGATGTAATTGGTGCCAATGTCATCATAACAGTAAAAAAAAGCATTTTACGAAAAACAATCCATATAGCTGTTTCATTAGCATTATCTTCCTCTTGAATAAGTTTATCGACTGTTGTAGCCGGTTGTATAACTGATGTTCGTTGCATCTGAAAATAAACGTACGTATATATATATATACATATACACACACATATGAAATCTAATAGAAACATATCGAATTATGTTTTTAACATCCTTTTATTTATATTAGTATACAGACATGTGTACATAAATTTAATACAATAAAATTCTTTATTTAATTAAGTCCAGGTAAGATAATTCCAACATTTTCCATAAGTTTATTTGTTAATGGATCTGATTTTGATGTTGATGAATTCGTTGATACGATTTCATTACCAATACAAGCCATTAAATTACATGCACATAGTGTTCCATCAAAAAGAATAGCTGAAAGATTATCAATTGATGTTGCTGCTGATGTACCACGAGGATTAAGATGACCTAATTGTCGAACTTTTTCACCCATTTTTGTTAATGATTCACCAAGTAAATAAATTCCTGCAGCTATATCAACAATATCATAATTTTTTGGTGGTGTAATTATTGGTGATGTTATTTGTTGTTTAACAAAAGCATTCGGTGGTCGTATTGATGATAATGATGGTTGTTGTTTAGAATATTGATTTAAAATTTTTTGTAAAAGTACTGGTGGATGATCATCTGTAGGCTTTTTCCGTTTTGTTGGTTTAGTAGGTTTTGTTGTTGATGGTAATGTTGATGTTGCTGGTTCAGTACTAGTTGATGCTTTTAATAATTCAGCTGTTATTGGATAATGATAACTTTCTTTTTCAGCTTTAAGACACCAACGTTGTCGATCATGTGCACTCATTTTTTTCCATGTACGATAAAGACGTTTATCATCAAGTGTCATTGTTCGATGACGTGCACGATATTTCATAGCCCATAAACTAAAACCATCAAGCATTTCACTTGACATTGAACCTAATGTTGCAGCTAAACCTAATGTTCGATCATGGTCTTGTTTATTACCTATTGTTGTCCATTCGTCTTCATCACTTAATACACCAGATGAATGATCATCATCAACATCTAAACCTTCATCATCCTCTTCTTCTTCTTCTGATGTATGTTCTTCTTGATCTATGAAAAAAAATTACAGATAACGATCAAAAAACAAAAACATGATAGTAAGAAAAAATGTTATTACGAAATTCTTCATCATCACTTCGTCTTTGAGTTATTCCATTTTCATCATCACTTTCAACATCATCACCTATAACCATTTGATTTGAATCTCGTTTTGTTTTAGCTAAATAAAGAATTATTATTGATTATGAAATATCTCTAGAGTTATAAACAAAAGCTTTTTTTTCAAGACTAAACTTTATTCTCATATGTTATATGTTAATCAAAATCAAACTTAGAAGAGAACATAAACATATGAAACATTCTTTGGTTAAAGAACCTTAAATAACTATTGACAGCAGAAAGATGTAAATTTAATTTAAAGTAAGAATACATGATTTCTGTGCATCGTATAATGACAGTAGAATATTTGTGGTTTCAAAACTATCAATCTTTCGTAAGGAAAATTCTAACTCTTGCATAATCAATATTCATAATTCTCATCTGATCTTCTCAAAATAACATAAAATATATCAGAATTAGCTAGAATCTGATCACAAAAATCTTTTTCTTTTAATTTCTTCTATACAAATACACTTGTATTTCTTCTAACTAATGCCATACTGAAAGAATATATTCTTTAATCAAATCTATTGTTTATTATATTTAATAAAATTTGTTCTCTTACTATTTGCAACACTTTTAGGTGTTGTTGGTTTTCTTCCTTGTCCAACACGTTTAACTGGTGCTGTTGTTTGTTTTTTAGTTTTAGGTGATCCCGTAGATGATTTTCTTCGTTTAACTATCGTTGGTAAACTTCCATTTTTAATAGCATCAAGATCAGCTTTAATTGATGTTTGTTTTTTTTTTGAATATGTTGATGGACGTTTTGGTTGTGTAGTTGAATGAACAGGTGATAATGGTGGTGATATTGTTGCACCTTGAACAAGTTCTTTAAAATAAGGTGTATATTTAATAGTTCGACCTGATTTTGTTTGTTTAACTTCACTAAATTGTGATTCATGTGGTGGAATTTTTACTGGACTTGGTTCATCAAGTGCAAGTGTATTAACTGTTGTACCAATTAAACGACTAATAACTTTTTTACGTGATGATTGTTGTTTTTTTTTTGATGGTGAATTAATTGTTAATAATGATGAATCATCATGTTTAATAGGTAATGGTGAATTTTGTTCATCATCAAAATTTTCATTATTATCATCAATTTTTAAACGTACTTCATTATCAGATGATTCATCAGCTGATAATTCATTTGTATCATGTGTTATATTTGTTATAAAACGATTATCAGATGTATCTTGAACAGATTGTGAACGTAAATTAAATTTTAATTTTATTTTAGGTGTTGGTGTTGGTGAATTTTCTATTTGTTCATCATTAATTATTTTTGTTTCAGTTAGAGATTCATTTGTTGGTTCAATTGATTCAATATTTTTTTCAATTATTATTGGTGTTTCAGATGATTTTGTTGATTTTGAACGTCGACCAGGACGTTTTTCTGTTGTTGATGATGATGAATCTGTTGCACTTATTTTAGGTTTAAAAAAATACGCTATACCAGACATATTTCTAAAAAGTGAAACATTCTATAATCATTTTGTTTGTACTTTTTCTTTTTCTATATTTCATAACTTGAAGAAAACAAAAAAGCAAAAAAAAAATAATGTTTTGATATCTTTTATTTTTTCGTGTTTTTTTTTCTGACTTTCTTTTTTTTTTGAATTTACACACAACAAAAGACAAAACAACAAAAGATTTTGTTTTTTCTTTTATAAGATGTAAAAAATACTGAGTGATATGAGCAAATACAATGAAAAATATTTAAATATGATTAAGAATTAATATTAAAATTAAAATAAATGCCAAATATGGTTTCATTCGATATGTTTTTGACATTTCAATTTGATAAAAATCATCTATAATTGATGTTGTTTGAGATGATGATGGTGGATTATATGGATAATAATGATGTTTTATATAATAATTATTTTGTTGTTTATTTTTACGATTTTTTTCACGATGACGAGTATGAAAAGAATTATGAAGATTTGATGAATGTGAACGAACAAGATTATTGTTAATTTCATCGGATGGATAGAGATGAATGTTTGTAGAAACAAATTTTGGAGATGTTGTTGTTGGTAATTGATGAGAAGGATTTATTTGTGTACCATAAAAAACTAAAGACCAATTGAGAAAAATAACTAAAAGAGAAAACAAAATGATAATAAACATTAAAATCAATGAATTGAGTTTTGATAAAAACAATGTATCTTTTCAATCAAAATCTCCATAATCATTTGTTTTATAAATTATTACTTTTTTTCTTTTATTCTCGATTGTAATTGATGTACTATTTACAAATAATGCTTTCTACGAACTTGTATTTTATGCAGCCTACTTTGATCGAAAGTAAAAATACTCGAAAACTAAGGTTGAAATTTTCAAATATTTACTATTGAAGAAGAGTGAGAGACAAGCAAAAAGACTTTAATACCTTACACGAGGACCTGTTTTCAGATGATCAATCATTTTTGAATTCAAACTCTATGCACACGATAGACTTCAATAAGGTATGAAAAAACTCCAAAAGATAAATCTCCTTAGGTCTTCTGTTCAGAGTTATAGGCATTTTACTAGAATTTTAGCCTCTGACATGGTATATAACAACAAATCGGAATGATGGTATTTCGATCTAAGATTTTGTCTACAGGTAGATTTATTTATCAGTGAAATCTTCTAAAACTTTCAGCTCAACAGAATATTTTCTTTCTGAGATATGTAAGTCCTTAAAAAAAATGAGAAAATTTTAGCATCTTTCATGAAATATGAGTGACTTTGAGAGCTTGAGTATCTCAGGAAGGAAATATTCTTTTGAGTTGACATTTTGAGAACACTCTGCTGATAGATAGATCTGCCTGTAGGCAAAGTCAGAAGTCGAAATACCGTCATTCCGATTTGTTGTTATATACAATGCGAAAGGCTAAAATTCTAGTAAAATGCTTATAAGCCTGAACAGAAGACCTAAGACAACTTATCCTTTGGAATTTTTCATATCTCACTGAAGTCTACCTTATGTACAGAATCTGAATTCAAAAATGATTGATCAATTAAAAACGTTTTCTCATTAGTTTATCAACATTAAGTTATTTTTCTATTGAATAATTATAACTTTTTTGTCATAACTAAAAACAAACTATTCAGAAGATTAGATGTTGTTGACTGTTTATTTTTCTATTTTGATGCACCAAGAGATTATAAGTATTGCTTTACAATAAACTCCGAGAAAATCAACTCGATGTCTGAAGAAACATCGATCTCTCAATCTGTATACTAAATAAAACATTGCTACTAACCATTATTTTCTACATCAACAATTTCTAAAGTCCAAATTCCACGTGGTGATTCTCCCCAATTATGTACTGTCATAAATGGCCAATTATTAAATCCATCAATAGAATCATCTTCAACTCTTCGGCCAAGTAATGTTGAATTTGTACCCATTGGTGAAGTTAAAAATATTTGTAAATTTCCTTTTTTTTGTGAGAAAAACAAAAATAATAATGATAAAATATATTTTTCATTAAAAAAAGTTAAAACATACCACGATATTTAACTTTAACAGACACTTTTGATTGTACATGTTCAAGAAAATTAATTTCATTTTCTGTATTAATACAACCATCAGCATACATTTGAATAACAACACGTTCATATTTTTTAAATGTTCTATATAAATATTTCAATATTTTCATTTATTTCGATTATTAACTTACTTTGCAATTATATTTGGATCATTTTGATGACAAATATGTTGAGAAGGAACTGTTCTCCATTTTTGAGCCTAAGAAGAAAAAAAAAACATTTTTTTCTTAGAAATAAAATTTTTTTAATTTATTACTTTTAAAACTAATTGAGCAGCATCCATCATACCAAAACCAAATGCATGACTAACACGTTTTCCAACACCATTTGTTTTCCAATCTAATGCATTTAAATATTTTGGTTTAGCTGTTTCAACAATTAAATGTTGAATATCACGCCACGTTAAATTTCGATTAGCTTCAAGTGCTAATGCAATTATACCAGCAGCCATTGGAGCTGAAGCTGATGTTCCTTTGATAGAAAGAAAACAAAAAAGAAAAAAAAAACTTCTAAAATAAATTAATTCTAAGAATAATTTACCTGTATGATTTTCTGTACATTGACTTCGAAGATCAGTTGAAACAACTTGTTTTTCATCTGATGCACCACTACTATATGTTGTCGCTAATGTTGATGAACAAGATTCGGAATACCATGGTATATTACCATTTTCAGTTGCACTTGATATTGATACTGTATAAATTGAATTTGTATAACCATCACAATTACAGTTATCATCATCTTTTCCACCATTTCCAGATGCCCAAACATAGATTGAACCAAGACCTTGACGACCCTAAAAAAAAAGAAAAAAAGAGAATAATTTTTTTTTTTTCGATGATAAAATTTACATATTTAATGCCATTTTCAAATGCTGCTTGTGCTAATGTAGCTGGTCCATCAACAGTTTTTCCATCATCATCCGGGCCCCTGAATCAATTTCCTTCATAAATAATTTATCATATAAAAATAGGAATTTTGCTTACCAACTAGCTGAATAAATATCAATAAAATCTGGACGAAAACTTAATGCCATTGATTCAACTAAATCAGTTACTTCTCCATCTAATAAACGAATGCCTAAAATACAAAAAAAAAAAAAAAAAAAAAAAAAAATGAAAAATCTATCATCACTTTTTTTTTTACACATAATTCTTACCTCCAATTCGTGCATTAAATGCTACTCCAACATTACATATATTATTATTTGCTGCAGCAGCTAAAAAATAAAATTATTATTTCAAAAAAGAACGAAACTTCTTATAAATCTTACCAACTTCACCAGCACATCTTGTTCCATGTCTAATGAACAAAGCAAAAAAAAAATTCAAAAATAATTTTTCATATTTCTCATTTATCATAATAAAATCTAATAAATCATGCAGTACAGCAAAAGAAAGTAATAAGTAGACATCATTCTCATCTCTAGACATGCTAATAAATAAAAATACAAACAAATTTATCATAGTTTGTCAATGTGAAAATTCTCATCCTCTATTTACTTATTATCATTAGTCGCTGTCATTCGGGGTTGTGGATCGCTGTCATTTCCATTGATATCATAACTAGCACGAGGTTCCTATAAACAATATATTAAGTCTAATTTAGCTCGCATATATATACCCTTTGTAAATTTTTTTCTTTCTTATATCAAAATAAATAAAAATAAAAAAAAAACAAAAAATCTTTTCTACTTGTTTTCATTTGTTGGATCATAACGTGGTTGTGGATCATTGTCATAACCATTGATATCTGTACTTGCTTGTGGTTCCTAGAAATTTTTATGGGCGTGTTTTTTTTTTGACATGCAAAACATGCAATACGCAGCACACTTCAATTAATAATATATATATATATATATACTTACATAATTTTGTATTAAATCAGGATGATCTTTCTCAATACCATCGTCAAGAATTGTTACAACAATATTTTTACCAGTAAAACCAAGACGCCATGCACCTGAAATATTCATTGCTCGACCATGTTCATTTTCATCGTGCTTTTAAAGAAATTTAAAAAAAAAAACATATTTTCAAAATTATTTTCAAAAAAAAAGAATAAAACTTACCATATACCATTGTTTATCCCATTCTGGATCGTTAAATCTCGATGGTAAAGATAATGATTTAATTGGATGATAAAACATAATATTACGTTTAACACGTTTTTTAACTTGTTGTTGTTCAACCCAATCAATTAATGGATCATGTTTAAGTTCATTAACTAGATCATTATCAGATCCATCTAATGAACGTTTTCGTCGTTGATTTCTTATTATTTGACGAAATACAAAATAATTTTGATTTGGTATAGCCTTTTTAAATAATAAAATTACATTAACAAAAAACAAAAAAAAAAAACTGTTTGTTTTTATATTTTACTTTTCGTTCAAATTTTAAATGATATTTTTCAGCTAATGATCGAGCTGCTTGTTCACCTTCATTAATATGTAAAACAAATTCGTTTGTATATGTTAAATTTTCAGTTTTAGCAAATGTGACGATGATAAGGAGAATTAAATCAATAGTAACAATGATATGACGAGTAACAACAATAAGCATGTCCTCGATAATGACGCCGAATAACTTTCGGCCATATCACATTGTTCGTTGTCTATTGATCACGATTAGTCTTTAGGCTTAAATATTTAATGATTAATATGATTAACAATATAAGAGATCAATTGCTTATCTACAATAGACATATACTTAACAATTTATGATAATCAACTAAAATATATATAGGAAAAAATGAATGTATCTTTTATTTCATCACAATTGATTGTCTTTCGTCTTATTATAGAAGTAGCATCCACACGCTTTTTTTTTTTCTTTTCTTTGAAGACTAACTCAAAAAAAAGAATTCTCTTGGGGAATCAACATAAAAGCGAAACAAGGGAAAAATTAAATACGACGAG